TATACTTATTCTTTCATAGGCAGTCAGATATCTCACCAACGCCACAAGGTGATACAACTTGGCTAACGCCCACCTCTTAATACTCAGTTCTCAAAGGAGTGAAAGTGAATACATCTGTCCAATTATTGTTGATTTAAAGGAAAGGTTCCTTAGAATCTTCAACCACTGACTTCGAACGATTCCACAAGCTCAATTAGTCAACCTACACTTCAGATATGGATGATTTAAATTCAATGGCCAAAACCTTAATGGACTTGGTGCTGTATCTTTTTACCTTTGACATTCTTCTTCATGAATCTGGCTCCGCCTAACGTTCCACATAGGTAAGATAAAAGTGCTCAATATTCATCTGGACCTAGTATACAACGCTCAAATGTATGTTGCAAAGATGAAGCTAGATACCTTGAACAAATCTTTCAACATCTAACTGAATACAATCGACATCAGTCAGTAGTAAAGCCTTTTGTGAGCGACAATGAAATATATATCTCACTTTTCCATGGAAAGGTAAGCAAATAGATTGCATTTTATAATATCTCTTCATACCTGGTAGGCGCTATATCGGTCCCAATCGATGTTTATAAATAGTTTAATGGGAAGAGAGTAAATTCTACTGCCATCTGATTGCATAACGTAAATTATCAGGAAAAGTAATACAATTCCTCTTTTGGTGTATCCTTTTTGAGAACAGAATGCCAAAAACCCAGAGATACCAAAAAAATAAGGGTAATGAAGTTGATCTAAGTCATGCAACGGTTATAATAGCTGTAGCAGTATGTTCCTGTTGGTTTATAAAATCAGACAACTTGAAGCTATTAGCATGAGGTACTAATGCAAGTGAATGATAGTCACACTGAACTAATTATTGTTTCGTAATAGCGAAAGAGGAAACTTACTACTCTATCAAGAATTTCCTAAACAGTCTACTAGTTTAATTAAAGGGAATACTTCACTTTTTAAAAGTAACAAGATTATGTAAAAAGTGATCTGCCATACAGGTCTAAAGTGAACTGAAGGTTCACACAAAGTAAACTGTAGATAAGTTTGAATATATTTTATTCATTAATTTATTTTCCTTCCCTTAGAATAATAGGCGTTAATGGTTACAGACTGTTGGAGTTATGGTTGAAAATCAGTTACAATGGAACAGATGTATTCACCTTTTTGAGAACACCTTTACCAATTTTCATACTTTTTAGATCGTCTCTCTTCTCACACACTTTTGTCTGCTACAATAATATTTTTTTGTATCCACTTGTTCTTTGCACACTGTTGTGGTGGAATGTGACAACTTGTAGCAATATACTTTTGTGCGATGGTTCTGCGTTGATATTTGTCTGCGTTTGTCAGTCTGTTAATCACACTACAATTCTTATCATTTCAGCAATGGGTAGGAAGAAGTTTTAAATGAACAATGGTTTTTAACCCCATGACATCCACGATTGTTTCGATAACCAGGTGACAGGATTATCTTACACCATCGAGTAAGATAGAAATGCACTCAGCAATTATGTGTACGCTCGCGTAGTAGGTAATGAGTCACACCTACTGTGCGAAACCTAATAGTACTGGTTGGCCGCACAAACTTCAGTAGGTGAAGTGGAGTTCAATCCCTTGGCATACTAGGCAAAAACCAATTACCTGAACTAATGAGCTCCGATCCCAACCCTCATACACCAAAACCAGTCAAAAGTCTAGTATTAAAAATATAAATGGTTTTCCAGATCAATCACTGTTCCTTATCATAATTATGTGTACATCAGATCCCATATCATCATCATAGTATTTAGCTACCTGTCTATTTACAAATGGATTTCAAACCAGTTGCTCGACTTTGATAAATGAGATTACAGAAAATGAAAAGGAGAATTTGATAATTTACCTCGAAAGTTTATCACCAACTAAATAGTTGTTCATAAAGTCACGATCATGTTCTAGAAACACTGTTTGGAAGACGGAGAAAACTCTCAAGAACCATGTACAGATTTTTGCATTAAGCAATGAGCTAAGTTTGTTTCGTTGGGGATTGGTGATACTACGAAACTTCCAAAAACTTGCTTGGTTGAAAGGGATTCAAACACGTGACCCACTAGCTGAAAGTATACATCTGTATCAATCAATGAGCTATAATTCCATTTCTTTGTGAGGACTGCGGCTCAGTCAATTCATCGAACCCACATCAACTGGAGTGGTTCAGGTTTGTTAGAATAATAGCTGTTTTACTTAGAAGAGTAATAACACGAGGAGCATCAGAATGACAAGGTCGAATAATTTGTGTTGTTCATCAAGTGAGACACAAAGATGGCACCGAACATGATATAAATTAATTTATGATAGGTTAATGTACTAAGCTATGAGTAGTATTCGTGTGAAGGAGTATGATACTACCCGATCGCCTAGGTTAAAATAGCTAGGGTAGGGCTCGAACCCGCGAGACTGCTTGAAAGTCGAGTTCTTCAGCCAATGAACTGTATCTTAAACATATATAACAATTGTTTCAAAATGTGAGTCCACATTTCCTTTGAACGACTCACTACCATGTTATATATATATATATATATATATATATATATATATATATATATATATATATATATATATATATATCTGATGAGAAGTAAAGGACGAATGTATGTGAACTAGAATGAGTTAATTTAGAAAGTTATTACTAAAACTTAATTTCTCCTCTTTAATTGCATACACATATGTATTTGACGTCTGATAAATAGATTACATGTTTAGAACTCGCTTCTGCAGTCTGATCGACTGAATAGTAACATAAACCTTGACATAATAAGTGCCACTAATAGCGAAGTAAATGAACACATGAGCTGGATTGAGTCAACCTAAGCCATCTACAGTGCCGGTATGCTTTCCGATTACCTATCAAACGCTCAGTGCAGTGCTACATGACTATTAAAGGTGGGATAGACGAGGTTTCAGTTATTCTACCATCACTGCCTCCATCGCATAGGCAGTATCGTGGGGCTACCACCTAAGTAATACACGGCTTTGGTGTAATTCTGGAGTAAACGAAGTGGGTCAGTTGATGAAGTTGTGCATCTTCATTGAATAGTCAGTATTCGCCTCGACCTGATGCAGATTGTTAGACGGAATAGGTTTAGGTTAGGAAGAGTTAAAGGTTAAGAGACGAAGACATGGTATCGGTCCATGAAGTCTCTGGCTGTTTTTCTGAGGGATGTAGAAAAATGTAGAATTTCTCATGACATGACAACCGAAACCGATAGTTGGACACTATATGATATGGCCGATAATTGTAAACGCATCCATACAAAGTTTTCATCCTGGATTTCACATGACATTTCATTAATTATTTTGCCTTCTTTTTTACGCCGCGTTTCTGCTACATTTGTTTACGTTTTCTCTGTATTTCTGGGGTTTACTTTTTTGTTTTACATCTTAATGTGCTGCGGTAAGGTCTGTCAACTTGGACTATTGTGCAGTATTATCAGGTCTCATGTTGATTATACTGAGGTCGACTATTTCGACTTCAACCATCCAGAATAGACATTTTTATGACATCAGAGTAAATGCATGTTCACAACTTAATTGGCTGAACTTTAAATCTAACCTCGAATCTACTCTGTGACCTTATCAAAAGCTATTCATCATTGTAAAGACTGAATATACCCAGAACTCTGGTATGTCTTGACTATCAATACCAAACGGAGTTGATGGTCGAAATTCATGGGACGACAATACATTACGTTGAGTGACAACATAGATACACATGTTATTTCTGTTATCATTGAACCATCCTCTCAAGTACGTCACTTAGAATGTAACATCTAGAAATTGTGGATTGATATAACTCGAAAATGTAGGCAATATTAGTTGAAGACATAAAATATGCAACAAAATGGACATTATAATCTATAAAACACATTACTATCATCAACATCAACATAAGACCATTACTGCGTAACGGTCAAAGTTGCCAACCACACCTAACATATCAGCATATCAAGTAACAAAGCAATAAGAAGAGAAAGAAAAACTGGTCAAAAGTAGTAAAAGACAGAAGGAACGAAGAAATCCTTAGTTCAGGATGGATATTAAGATGAGCATGTGTGCATACATCTGCACCCCTGACATAGTTTCTCAGCCATATCATCACTTATAGTCTCCAATCACCGATGGTTTCTCTCGTCCCGTGGACCCCAGTCAGCTAGTCTGTATCGCCTTACTTGGCTCAAACGAGCAGTCAAGGACTTCATATACTGATGCCACGTTTCAGTCTAACTATTCCTAACCTTTTCCCAGTCTGAACCTACTTCGGTCAACATTGTGTGACGAGGCAGACGGTGATTGGGCATGCATGACATGTGTCCCAGCCAGCCATACGAGTCGATAAAGATTCACAACCACATCAATTGATTTTTATATCCTACCTAAAACTCTACGGTTAACTTCTACGTTACTCACACGGTGATACCACGAAGGCAGAAGTGGCCAAACACCTGAAGCCTTCTCACGTCATCTCTTCAATGGTCACGCTTCACAGCCATTGACACTGCAAGAACTAAAGTCCGCCTTTCATTTTCTACCTAAAATGAAAAGTATTCAAACTGTGTGAGTCTATAGTAGTAAGATTTGGAAGACTTTTTCTTCAAAGGCGGACTGTCATTAACTTTAGAAATAAAATACCACTGGGATTAACTTCAAAATCCGACTGTTTCGAACAGAACTGAAGGAAGCAAAAAGACGAAACTTCATTCAGATCGTAAATTAAGTGGACTCGGTCGTGTAACGATGCAGATTTAAGCAATGGAGATCGGTAAATGACACAAAACTTTCCCTAGGCAGTGGCCACGAGGGTTGACTGTAAAAGCCAAGATTAACCCAAGGCCTACTGAATTACGTCTTAAGATTAATGTGAACAGACGCACTATGTGACATATAAAAGTAATGCGGTCATCATAAATTAAATAACTGAACGCATAAAAGACAAACGATTTCACGATAATTTCCTTACTTACAGTGTACATTAGACGGGATTTGTTGAAATGGCAGATCCCACGAATTTCGCTATCATGAACTAAGACTTCAAGTATTCTATTTCTTTTCGCAATATCCCAATATTGTATCTGTAGATAACTTAAATAAATGGTCCAAGTAACCAACTTTTCCATCAGCCGTTCCAAACACTGCCAAACCCAACGTTTCTGTGTTGAGAGAAAGCGCCGTCATCCTTTCGCTGGTTCCTTCAAGTGCTCCTAAAAAGGGCTTCGCCATCATCCTCCCAAGTTTGGCTGCATTTAACGCCCTGACGTATTCTCTCTCTGAGGCAAAAGGGTGCTCTGTAACGCTTTGGTTCCTTGGGACTATGAGTATATAAAACCAAGTATTAAGCAAATACTTTTAAAGATGTCATCAGCGGTTTCCCTACGAAAATCAGAAGGATTGCGAGAAAGCATGCGAACCTTCATCCTTAATTGCACCTCAAGGTCCTGACCTTCAATTTATAAGCTGCGAACTGACAGTTTTCAGTAATAAGGATAATTGGTCAGTTGTCCTGTTTTAATCCTTATGGTAAATATCTCTGTAGAGATCCAGTTCCTCCTTGAACTTATTGAATGAAGAAGCTGATCCTTTTGTTGAGATAAAAAGTTACGGTCCAACACCCAACGCTAACACTGCTAGTGTGGGGACTTGTCTTTTGTGAGCTTTTGCTCCCAGGTCTTGATGCCTGGTTCTTTTTTTGTTTATACTCCTTCGGCGGTCTCAGAATTTCTCGTGCTTTTCCTGATCATATCTTTGGAGGCAGATGTTGTCTGTCTGAAAGTATTTTTTATTGCAGACTGTGGCTTGGTTTATTTGAAGGAACATCAGAGCTGCTGATGAGATCAATTAGCCTCTTGCAAACCCTGTTTTTCTAAGCACCTACAAGCAAATATTAAGTGCTGTTTCGAAGGTGCTAGGAGTGGGAAGACTGGGAATTGAGAAAAATAGAAGTGAAAAGTACCAATGGAAAAACAAGTGTTACTGGTTATAGTGTGGAGAAGGGTTGCGTCTTTTCGCAGATACTGGGGTTGGACAATGAAGGAGTGGATGAACATACCTTCGGTTGTCATCGACGACTGTTCGTGATGGACCGTCTGTGCTCACGTCAACTGGTTCAGCTTCTTTCTTCGGTAGAGCTTTCCATAAGGCACACACTTTGTATGAGGAGTTGGACCCCACTGTTATATTTGCCCTGTGGTGAAGTATGCAAGTGGGGTTCCCTCGAGGAGGCTCGTTTTAGGCTGAAAATGTCGACCCGTTTGGGTGGTCTCCTTGGTGTTCCATCTCGAGGGTCGTTATTAAGTCACCTCCTTTCCTTCGACTGCGAAGCGTAAACAGGTCAAGTTGTCGAAGGCTTTGTGCATATTTTTTGCCTGTTAGTCCAACAACCGACCTTGTTGCCCCTCTCTGTACCATTTCGAGCGTTCGCGTCTATTTAGCAGAACTAAGCTATCTTGTTGAGTGCCCCTAGCTGCAGTCTAACATAGGCTTTAAATGCTATGAGGAATAATTCTGGGATTCGCGCCCCAAACTGCTTTCTCAGAAAACGCATGACATCGATCGCATTTGTTACCATTCCCTTTCAAGTTTGGTTGTGTATCAAGTGCATCAGAGAAGCTTAGTCCAAGATCCTTCTCCGTGGATGCCCTGGTGACCGCGCTTATTGAGGGTACCGCCGGTTTCCATTACTTCCCGTGTGTGACGATACACCATTGCACTTCTCCAGGTTGAAGCTGAAACTATTCGTAACTGGCCAGGACCCTAGCTGTACCAGATCCTCTTCCCTATTTCTTGTCCCTTTTACTTTGACATCGTCGGTAAATAAGAGGACAAGCCGGGGGCTTGGTTGTGAGGGTCGCCAACGAGTAGTAAAGACGCAGGGGTCCATGAGTCGCCCCTTGAGAGACTCCTGTTTTCGCACCCCGCCAGGACAACCAGATTCTGTTTGCTCTATTATAGAGATGGCTAGCCGAATTACTGAGCCTGATTCGTAATGATTTATGCAAGTATTCACTGAAAGATACGTTTGAACTTGTTGATTATCTTACTGATTTGAATATTAAAAATAATAAAATGCATTCTTTTGATGTTAACTCTCTGTTTACAAATGTGTCTCTAACGAAGACAATTAATATTCTTTGTGACCACATATCTTCAAATTATCCTTCCTTCCCTATTCCTTCAGCTTATTTGAAAGAACTGCTTTTATTATGTAATGATAAGGTTCATTTCACTTTCGAAGGTGAACACTTTCGGCAAATTGATGGTGTAGCCGTGGGGAGTCCATCAGGACCGTTATTAGCTGATGTATATATGTCTCATACTGAACTAATGGCTCAAGATCTAATCAGAAATGTCACACTCTATAGAAGGTATGTGGATGATATCTTTGTAATATGTGACACAGATGAGGATGCCAAGAGGTTGTTAAAAAAGCTTAATACCGTACAAGATCATATCAGTCTGACATGTGAGGAAGAAAAAGACCATCAACTTGCATTTCTTGATATACTCTTGTGCCTGGAGGGAAGATGGATCTATAAGACGATCAATATATAGGAAGTCTACTTGGACAGGACAGTATTCGAATTTCCATAGTTTCTGTCCGATGAAATATATAACAAAGGCTTGGTAAGATGCTTGTTCAGTAGAATCCAACATATTTGTACATGTGATACGATGGATGATGAGAATAAGTTTCTGGCAGACTCTCTAATGGAAAACGGTTATCCATTACAGTTTGTCAACCATTGTAAAAAAAACAGTTGACTCCAAAGCCTATAGTTCCCTCGGTCCCGAAGAAAAACATATTTCTTAAAGTACCATACAGATGGGAAACAAACAGTATGATATTGAAACAGAGATTAAAATCTGTTATTAGTGAAACATACTATGCAGGTCAGCTTATCATTGTTGAGATGACAAAACACCGGCTTCACCACAAACCTCAGACTTGCACAAACGATTACATCACATCCTACCGTGTTTACCAATTTACATGTATATGTGGGCACATATATACATAGGGAGGAGTAATCGTTCAATGCAGACTACGGTGGGTGAACACATACCCAAATTGGCTAGAAAAATAGTTTAACACACAAACTTTGATAAGTGCAGGTGATAGACAGATATCGTCATCTATAGCAAAACATATTATTGAAATGAATCACAGGGTTGATACGAAAACAGCGTTTAAGTTATTATACAGGAATAATCAGGGGCGCATACTGAAGTTTGCCGAAGCGTTAGCTATTCTCATAAACTTAATCCCCCACTGTGTGTACAAAAACAATTTGTTGTTTCACTTAATTTACCTTGATAATCCTTATCTGATTATATTAGCAAGACTAGTGTCACAACCTTTTCATATTCACTATATTTGACCTTTAATTTTCATCTATAAATTGACTTGACAAGTAAATGTGTGATCAAATCGTTCGAAATGTATTGCGCAGATACATCAGATTTTTCAGACAATCTTCGTCTTCTAATAGCGTTATCGAAACTTATTAAAGGGACTAACTATTTCAAATATTACAGAATTCCCTGTCCTCTAGAAATGCTGCGAGTGGTTCGATGATACCCACTTTCGCAACTTTAAAGAGCATGGTGTGGTGTGGGACGCCATTGAAAGCTTTGGCCAAGTTCAAAAAGATAGCCTGGACTGATTTTTTGTTGTCCCATCTAGTGGCTCAAACATCCTAATTGGTCATCAAGTTTGTGGCTCATAACCATCGGGTGAGGCGAACGATTTATTTCCATTTGGGTGGTCCAAAAAACATTTATAAACAGGCCTTCTAGTACCTTAGATGGTATGGGGAGTAACGCTGTTGGTCCGTATTTGCACAGGCTTGTTCGGTAACCTCCTTTGAGATTTTTGACCACAAGGTTTTCGTTTTCGCATTTTATTGTAGGTGAATGTACGTTGTCTTCAATGCGTATCTTAAAAAAAGTTTTTGAGCAATGAAACAAAATCAACTGCTTAGGCCGCCTTGTTTCTGTTTGAGTGTCTATATTATTATAACCTGGACCGGAGGCATTGCGACTGAGTGCCAGTTGACCTTCAGACGCTCAAACTTAATGCATCAAAGTTATCGATGTTCAGGGGAAATCCGAAGTATCAACCCCCTGGTTGGTGAGTCACTCCGCCCTACGGACGTCAGAAACTTACGGTCAAAAGATTTGAGAAATACTTCATATTATAGTGAAGACCGGCGACTAATAAACCGACGATGCATCGGCATTTTGTACGGTATTTCATCATTTCATTTGACCAATGGAACAATTTTCGCTCACAACTATCACTATTTCCTATATCTCTCTTACGTTTTTTCCCCACCTTGTTCACTTCATGAAGCAATACGTCGAAACGACACGCTCCCAGGAGTCGTTTCTGAAGGGGGCTGACGTAATGCCCAGTAAACCTGGTTGTCCAGTATCCAATATCTTTTTACGAGCTGATGTAAACCAGTTGGTTTCTTTGCGCTCGCGCATACCCTCCATACTAGTTTTTATGTCACCAATATCCAGTGATAACCAAGTTTCTGTTAGGGTTATGACGGTTGGATAGAAGTGGGAACAGAGAAATCGTAATTCCCCAACCTTACTTCTAAGTCCCCCCATATTACTGTAAAGACACTTGGGTATGTTTCCAACGACGTAGAGTATCTTGGTGCTGGCAGGCTGGAGGGGGTCGTGAGTAATGGCAAAACTCGCTATGGGACGGCCAGCTCCAGTGGAACCGGCCCAATCACGTTTTTCCCCACAGTGGTTTCTGAGGGTTTCATAGAGTCTAGGCTTGTTTGTGCATCTTGTCTGTTGACAATGATGGTGACTTCAGAGCTGGGCGGAGCTGTCATTTGCTATTGTCACAGTGCCTTGGGCCTGCCTTTACAGCAGCGGACGTCCCCACTGATGTTATCTTCTACTGTGTATCAAGTCTGCAGTACTTCGTTTAAAAGTTCTTGACAGCCGAAGTTAGCGGCCACCAACCGAGGTTATATTATCGCCGTCAGATGTGAGGGACGTGGCAGTCTGCAGACTACCGCCGCCACTATCCCATTTAACCCTATCCTCGCTGAGGACCACTTCCATTGCTGGACGTCGTGAGCATACTTTTCTACAACTTTGCCGGTTGTCAGTTCCGGTATGCCGTGGACAATCATAGTGGTTGGTATCAGCATTTGGGGTGCCTCGAGAGATGCTTTTCTCGCTGGCCAAGGACGGTCTGGTCTGGCTCCAATGCTGGATGACCTGTTGATGACTAGTGTGTGTGACAGCAACAAGAATCCTTCCGCTTCCTCAGCCGAGCTCAGGGTCACTCCCACCGTTGGAGGCCTTCCCTGGGGTGAGTAGTTGCCTTTATAGAGCCGGGACAGCTTTGCTTCTAAGCCACGCGGTCCTAGTATGGTGCACACGGTTTCCCATTGCTGTTTGTCAAAAGATTCTCTGTTCTCAGGA